TTTGCGTAGCCGCCGGGAGGAAGCTCTTTTTGATATACCTACTCCAATCACGTACACTTACAACTCTGTTTTTTTGTGCCCCCTGCATCGAATAAGATGTGTGATGCTCATCTCTGATATGGCTGTTGTGTTCTGGCGCTATTGCATGGATGAGAACTGGAGATCGCTGATGACTTGTATTTCCGCGCTGAATGACTTCATGAATGGGTTGATACGGCTGCCGCAACAGCAATACAAGAAGCACCGGCTCGAGTTTGCTTGATAGAAGAAAGGTGTACATATTTGGAAGGGAAAAAAGAGGGTTCTCACACAGAACATGTGGAGCAGGATAGAGCAGCAGGGAGAGGGCCTCCAAAACGCCTTTCAAACCCCTCTTTGCTGCTCTATCCTGCTCTACGCGCTCTGTGCGAGTACCTTCTCCTTTGTCTTCCAAATATGCACGACTTTCTTCCATCAACCGCAACTCGGCTCGAGCTGGTGGAGCTAGTTGCAGACGCTTTTTGTGTTGTTGTTAGTCCAGCCGTATCAACCCATCCATGAAGTTGTTTGGCTCGGAAATATAAGTCATCAGCACTCTCTTGTGCTCATTCATGTAATGGCTGTAGAACACAACAGGCTTTTTAGTGCCGAGCATCACTACACGATGCAAGGGAGACCGGAAACAGAGTTGTATCTATTGAAGTTGGTGTAAACATTGAAAGCAGCTTCGACGTGGCGGTTACACTACACAGGTCTATCAACCTCTCTCTCTCTCTCTCTCAAATGGTCCTTTATATTAATTCAGCAGGGGGTACAGACATGCAGTTTGACTCGTGGTTCCCTTATACCTTCCGACCCATCAACCCATCCCTCTGACCCTCCCCCCCCCCTTTAGTGCCCCTCTACCCCTCCAGCGTGTGGAGGATGTCCCCTAGGTGCAGCGGCCATGGGTCCGCTGCCATCTGGGGGTGCGCTGCCTCAATCCCCGCCCTGGCCTTGGTGTGCAGGGCATTCGCCTGGGAGCGCTGGAGGGCCACTGACCAGCGCTGGCTGAAGTGGCAGGCCATCTTCTTGGCCGATTTCGCCAAGGGGCTGGCCCTGAAGCGGTTCCTAGCTGCTGCTGTGGCCAGCAGCTTCAGGAACGCCATCGTGGGGGGCGCGTTTGCCCCATAGGTCTCGACGGCCAGGGCGCAGAACACCACGTGTTCTGTGTGCCGGTAGTAATCCCTTTCCTTCCGCTTCTGAGCCTCCCTTGCAGCCCAGCCTGGGGGTTTGCGGGCTGTGGGGTCCCGGTTCTGCAGCACAGGGTCGGTGATAGTCGTGTCTGTGATCCAGGTCTCTCCACTGTCTGGGTCACGCACCATCACATCGGCCTTCTTCGGGTCGTCCGGTGGTGAATACATTATGTTGGATTGTGCCGGGGGCGCCACCAGATGGCAGCGCCACCATTATCTCTTGTGTTGAGCATCCGTTCTCCGTACATTCACCATCCACTCTTACTTCCACCCTCGCTCTCATGCATGTATCCAGGGAGCATTCGATCTGGACTGTGCCGTGTGCCCCATCGCCATCAAGTACAACAAGACCTTCGTCGATGCCTTCTGGAACAGCCGCCAGTACGGCCCACCTCTACCCTCCCACTGTTCCTCCCTGCCCCTTTGCCTCTTGCCATGCTCCCCTCCTGCTCTCCTAACCCTTGCCCCCCTACTTCCGTCCCACATGCCCCCATACCCCCATTGCCCCATTCCCCCATACCCCCATGCCCCCATACCCCCATGCCCCCATACCCCCATACCCCCATGCCCCCATACCCCCATGCCCCCATACCCCCATGCCCCCATACCCCCATGCCCCCATACCCCCATGCCCCCATACCCACATGCCCCCATACCCACATGCCCCCCATACCCCCATGCCCCCATACCCCCATGCCCCACCCTCGGGATATCTGCGCCCTCGTTTTAAGCCCTCTCATGGCCCACCCTCATGCCCCACCCTCATGCCCCATCCTCATGCCCCACCTTATGTCACACCCTCAATTTGTCCTGTCTCATTTGTTGGCAAATTGCAGTTCCGAATTCACCTCTCCTATTTCCCACTGTTTCCCTCCACACCCCCTCCTCCACCCCTCCGCACCTCCAGGCAATCCTTCACGATGCATCTTGTGCGTCTGATGACGTCATGGGCGGTGGTGTGTGACGTGTGGTTCATGGAACCGCAGTACATCCAACCAGGGGAGTCAGCAATCGACTTTTCTGAACGGTATAAGATGGTTATGCGAGTTTTGTGGTGGTGTGAATGAGTGGACTCAGCGGTGGTGTGTGACGTGTGGTTCATGGAACCGCAGTACATCCAACCAGGGGAGTCAGCAATCGACTTTTCTGAACGGTATAAGATGGTTATGCGAGTTTTGTGGTGGTGTGAATGAGTGGACTCAGCGGTGGTGTGTGACGTGTGGTTCATGGAACCGCAGTACATCCAACCAGGGGAGTCAGCAATCGACTTCTCTGAAAGGTGGGAGACACTGAGAGTTTTGGGTTGGAACAACTGTACTAGTGGTGTGGTGGTGTGCGTGAGTCAACTCAGCGGTGGTGTGTGATGCGTGTATGGAACCGCAGTACATCCAATCGGGGGAGTCGGCAATCGATTTCTCTGCAAGGTGAGAGACGATAGCTTGATTTTCTGAGGTGGTGTCAGACTGCCCGATAGCTTGATTTTCTCGGCTTAACCGACCGCTCGTTTCCTACTCTTTCCCTTCCCATTCTCGTCCCACCCCCCTCACTTCTTCCCTCTCCTCCCCTCGGCGCGCTTATGGCAGGGTGCGGGAGCTGATTGCGCGGAGGGCGGGCATCAAGAAGGTGCCCTGGGATGGGTACCTCAAATACTATCGGCCCAGCCCCAAGCTCACAGAGAAGAGGTATGGTTGGAAAGGAAGAGAGAGAGAGTCATGAGCTCACAGAGACATGGTACATGTCTGTGAGAGAGGTAGGCAGGCACAAGCTTACAGAGGGGTACCTGCGTGTGTGAGCCTACCAGATGCCGTGGGATTGATACCTCAAGTACAATCGGCCCAGCCCCAAGCTCACAGAGAAGAGGTATGGCGTGAGAGAGAAGAAGAGGTTCGGTGTGTGTGCGGTGGGTGGGGGGGAGTTGGAGGGGGGTAGGGGGAAGGGGGGCGGGCTACAAGTTGCTGTGGGACGGGTACCTCAAGTACTATCGGCCCAGCCCCAAGCTCACAGAAAAGAGGTATCGTGTTGGACAGATGTGAGACACATGTAGACTCCGACATTCTCTTAGCACTGCTTGCTCGGCCTCCATACGATCACAGAGAGTGCTTTTGAGTCGACTCAAAAGCAGACTCATTGCACGCGGTTTTTGAGTCGACTCAAAAGCAGATGTGAGACACGTGTGGACTCCTACATGCTCTCAGCACTGCTTGCTCGCTCTGCACACGATCACAGAGAGTGCTTCTTCTACTGGCGCATCAAACAAAGTGACTTTTGAGTCGACTCAAAAGTCACCTCGCCCTGCACACGATCACAGAGAGTGCTTCTTCTACTGGCGCATCAAACAAAGTGACTTTTGAGTCGACTCAAAAGTCACCTCGCCCTGCACACGATCACAGAGAGTGCTTCTTCTACTGGCGCATCAAACAAAGTGACTTTTGAGTCGACTCAAAAGTCACCTCGCCCTGCACACGATCACAGAGAGTGCTTCTTCTACTGGCGCATCAAACAGCCTGCCTGCCCTCCCCTCAGGCTTTTTAATCAACTTGTTCCCCTTCTTCTCCATCGCCCTGTTACCATTTCCCCACCATCCAGGCAAACCAAATATGCGCACTCAGTGCTGCTCACGTTACAGGAGATCACAAGGAGTGCTGCTGGGGCTTTAAGCAGTCTTTCCTCCCCTTCTCTTTTTTCCCCCTGCACCCTGCACGCACCCACCCGCTCTTCCCCTCCCCAGGCAAGCCAAGTATGCGCACTCAGTGCTGCTCACGCTTCAGGAGATCACAGGGGGTGCTGCTGGGGTGTTTAGCCGCCCTTCCTTTCCCTCTCGCTTTGCCGCCCGCACCCTGCCCACACCCGACCCCTCTTCCCCTCCGCAGGCAAGCCAAGTACGCGCACTCAGTGCTGCTCACGCTGCAAGAGATCACCGGGGTTGTTGCTGGGGTGCTCCCCTCACCTGATGAAGACAAGCTCGTGCTCTGATACCACAAATGTCGGTTTTGCTTCACGGGAGGAAAACTTCCCTTGGAAAGCGTGTCCAGTCCAGAACAATAATGAAATCACGAACGGGCGCTTATGTGTGACGGGAGCTTATGGGAGGTGGCGGAGGTGGAGGGCGCTTGTAGGTAGCGCAGGTAGAGCAGGTAGCGCCACTTGTGCCAGCAATGTCGGGGCCAGTTGGATCCGGCAGGTACTGGTAAGGTAAGACGAGATGTTAAATCATGCGCCGCGTATCGTATCATACATGAAGTTGCGCTTGGATGCATGACTGGATGAGATGAGGCATGGGAATCAGGAGACCGCTAGTATGTGTGACAGCCTAATTTAAGTCCCCACCCCAGGTCATCCTCACCTGAAGATAACAAGTTACTCCTGAAGATCCGAGCAGGTGGGTGGATTGTGTGGGGGTCTGTGCAAAAAAGCAAAATGGGAGAAAGCTAAAACCTGTGCCAGCCGGGAATCGAACCCGGGTCTGCACCGGGCGCATGGCAGGGTGCTATTCTACCACTAGACCACTGGCACTACCCAGATACAGTGTGATGGAGTCGAATATTGGTTCAATAGTATTGTTCCATTGATTAAATCATTCCTAAGAATGCTATGATCAAACTAGCTCAACTATCCAGGAGCTCCTTTACTAACCATGACGTATTCACAGAATTATAAGTGATGTAGAAGTCTATGTTACATGCTTAGTCACAGCAGGCCAGGGACCAACATGTAGCCAGCAGTGACTGTGCAACACTGGACCAACGATGCCAAGGGTTACACATGCAGGTGAGTTACACGAGGCGGTTACACACTAAGCCGTGGCACAACATTCGGCCCACAAAACGGCTCTGTCAGCTGATCAGCACATGCCAGGCGGATTCTCTCTGGTGTGGCGGGAGAGTCTAGACGAAAGAAGCCAGTGTGGCCGGCGTCCTTCCGGGCGGCGTAGATTGCGTCTTTTATGGCCCACATGATTGATGAGCCGAGGAAGAAGGGCGGCTCGCCGACTGCTTTGGAGGAGAGAACTGCGTGCGGATTGGGGGAGTCCTGTGGTGGCAGGGGATAGGCCAAAGGTGGAACGGGGAAGGAGAGGGCAGATGGTGGAAAAAAGAAGGGGAGGAAGGTGGGGGGGAGGAAGGGAATTGGGGTAAGGGGAAGGGCAGGATGCGGAAAAAGGTGCAAAGTGACAAAGGAACAAAAGAAGGGATGGGGAAGGGGAAGTGAAGGAGAGAAACGACCACTCAACCTCACCCCCTGCCTCACACTCTCTATCTCACTCACCGCCAGCAGGGTGACTCTAAAGTCAGTGGGAATGTCAGAGGCAGCCGGGATCTTGTACGTGCCGGGGCCACACGTGAAGAGAGAGCCTGGCGCCACCCATGGGTGGGCGCTGTCGCCCCACTTGCTCTCCTCTATCACCGACCACCCCATTCCCTGCACGAACGCTCCCTCTATCTGCAGAAGCGAGGGGTGTAGGAAAGGAAAACAATGAGAATTGTGAGCCATCCAGGCGCCACCCAGGGGTGGGCACTGTTGCCCCACTTGCTCTCCTCTATCACCGACCACCCCATTCCTTGTACAAACGCTCCCTCTATCTGCACGGAATAGGGGGGCGGGTTGGGGAGATGAGGAAACAGAGCAATCTGCCCATGCCCATGCCCATGCCCATGAAAATCTCGACGCAAGAGACCACTCGGTGATGTGCTTCCCCATCAGCACATCAACCAGCGTCACTCGGTGATGTGCTTCCCCATCTTCGCCACCACCTGACTGGATTCGCTCTCGGCCGCATTTGACCGATGGGAGCACATACCTAGCCAATGTCAACGGCTGGGTTCACATCATTCAAGTTCACATCAAGTGACCGCCTCACATCATACGAGCATCAACTCGTGGTGCCACCCTCTCCAAGGGTCACCCTGACTTATGTTTCGAAGGGCTGCAGTAGTAGAGAGGACGCTTGAGCAAAGGAACAACAGTAAAAACTTGTGAAAAAACGCACATCATACGCTCAAAAGTCAACGGCTGGGTTCAGTGACCGCCTCACATCATACGAGCATCAACTCGTGGTGCCACCCACTCCCCCGACAGCACATAACCCTCCACTTCCGACACCACTGCAGCTACTGCTTGGTTGTCATTCCAAAACCAAAGAGGCCACCCACCCACCTGCCCAATGTCAATAGCTGGGTTCAGGGATCGCCCCACGTGCATGAGAACATCAACTCGCAATGCCACCCACTCCCCTGTCAGCACATCCATCCACCACCACCTCCGCCACCGCTGCTGGAGCTGCTCCTAGGTTGCCATTCCAAACACAAGTCACCCACCTCAAAACACGTCCCTGTGCCACGGGAACACACACACACACGTGTGTTTTGAGTCGACTCAAAACACACGTGCCACGGGAACACACACACACACCTGCCCAATGTCGATAGCCGGGTTCAGGGATCGAGGTGACTTTTGAGTCGACTCAAAAGTCACCACGTCCCTGTGCCATGGGAACACATACACACCTGCCCAATGTCGATAGCCGGGTTGAGTGACCGCCCCACGTCCATGAGAACATCCACTCGCGGCGCCACCCACTCCCCTGTGAGCACATCTACCACCACCTCCGCCACCGCTGCTCCAAAGGTGAAGTACGCAAAGGGAGATCCGGAGGCTGTTGCCCAGTCGAATCCGATGTTTGGAGAGGCAAAGAATCCCTGTGCTGACAGGTTTACTCGCTCTCTGTAACACCGATCGGCACTCTGGGAGGAGGCGAGACAGCAGGGGGAGGAGGGGGAGGCAGGGGGAAACAGGGCGGTGCACATGGGGGGCGTGAAGCAGGCAAAGGGAGAGCCTGACACTGTTGCCCAGTCGAAGCCAATATTGGGGGAGGCGAAGAATCCCTGCGCTGACAGGTTTACTCGCTCCCTGTAGCAACGATCAGCGATCTGTGGCGGGAGGAGTGTGGGGAGAGGGAGGAGGGGGAGCAACGGGGGAGGCAGGGGGTTGCGCATGGGGTAAACTGAGCGGTATATGGGGAGCATATGGATGGTATACCGTTTCATTTCATCTCACAAAATACAGTTGCATCTCACCTACACCGTTTCACCTCATCTGTACTGTTTCATCTCACCTATACTGTTTGTCTCACCTTTACCGTTTCATCTCACTTGTACCGTTTCATCTCACCTGTACGGTTTCAACTCACCTGTACCGTTTCATCTCACCGGTACCGTTTCATCTCACCTGTACGGTTTCAACTCACCTGTACCGTTTCATCTCACCTGTACCGTTTCATCTCACCTGTACCGTTTCATCTCACCTGCACTGTTTCATCCCACCTGCACCGTTTCATCTCACCTGCATCGTTTCATCTCACCTACACCGTTTCATCTCACCTGAACCGTTTCATCTCACCTACACCGTTTCATCTCACCTACACCTTTTCATCTCACCTGCACCGTTTCATCTCACCTGTACCGTTTCATCTCACCTGCCCAAACGTCTCCTCAGGGTACTGCTGCCTGATCGGCGCCATCCGCCGCTTGATCTCCTCACATGCCTCTAAAACCGCCTGCCCGTAGATGTCTGACGATGCTGATGCGGCTGTGGGGGAAGTGTTGGGTACCTGAAATAGGGAGCAGTAAGAGGGCAGCAGGAAGGTTTTTTTAAGGCTTTTCAACAAATTGTCTGGGATTCAGGGTTAAAGATTTTGAATGAGTCCAAAGGCGTGGGAGGGGTGTTGGGTACCTTATCCGTGCTGGTTTCAGAAATAAACACATTCGACAGCGGTACTTCCAGCGTCCGAGCAGCAATCTGAGCGCACTTGGTATGCAGCCCCTGACCCATCTCCACCCCTCCGTGTGTCACCAGCACCGTTCCGTCCGTGTACACGTGCACCAGCGCCCCGCCCTGGTTCAGAAACTTGGCCGTGAATGAAATGCCGAACTTGGTGGGGATCATAGCAAGGCCCTTCTTTCGCCACCGGCTTGTTGAGTTGTACGTGTCGATGTCGAGTCGGCGGGATTCAAAGGAGGAAGAATGGAGTAACTGCGTCCAGATTCGGTGCATCGGGTTGTGCGTCAGCAGCTGGCCAAAGTGCAGTGTGTAGCCCTCTGGTTGGAGATTCAAAAACTGGAGGCAAGGAGAGGGGGGTGGGGGGGTGGGGGAAGAGGAAGGGGGTGGGAAGAATCGGGTTGTGAGTCAGATTCTGGCCGAGGTGCAGTGTGTAGCCCTCTGGTTGGAGATTCAGAAACTGCAGGAGCGGGGGGAGGATGGGGGAGGGAACAGGGGGTTGGGGGGAGGAGGGAGTGGGGACGGGTCACGGGAATAGGACGGCGTTGGGTTATGGTTTCACTGCATAAAAGCAAGACCCACTCTACGCTCTTCAGCACTCTTCCCAACAGACCTCGCCACATGGTCAACAACACTCTCCATCGCCAGCATTCCCTGCTCCACCAACCCCTACCAATGCTGAACCAACCAACACACTCACCCTGATTTCCTCCGCACTCTTCCCAAGGCTCCTCGCCACATGGTCGATAGCACTCTCCACCACCCCGCCACTCGCCCCAACACTCCCTGCATGAATCAATACTCACTCTTATTGCTTCCGCGCTCTTCCCAAGGGTCATCGCCACATGGTCGAGTGCACTCTCCACCGCCACCATTCCCTGCGGCCCGCCGCTAGTACCACCCTACACAACCATGACCTTACTCCGCAAAATCAACACACTCACTCGTATCTCTTCCGCGCTCTTCCCAACAGTCCTCGCCATGTGATCGATTGCACTCTCCATCATCATCATCCCCTGCGGCCCGCCACTCGTGCCAACACTCCTTGCTTAAACCAAGACTCACCCTGATTTCTTCCGCGCTCTTCCCAAGGGTCCTCGCCACGTGATCGATAGCACTTTCCATCACCATCATCCCCTGCGGCCCACCGAAGCCCCGGAACGCCGTGTTGGACGGCAGGTGCGTGCGAGCCATGCGGCCCCGGGCGTGCATGTGTGGTGCTGAGTAGACGGAGTCACAGTGGAAGAGGGCTCGCTCTAGCACTGCTGCTGAGAGGTCGAGAGTGCAGCCGGCGTTGGACAGGAGCAGGACTTGGAGAGCCACAAGGCGACCAGAAGGGGTGAAGCCCACCTGTCCAGAGCGGGTGAGAGGAGGACGGGAAAAGGAGGGAGGAGGGTTGAGCGGGGGGCAAGCAGGTGCGTGCGAGCCATGTGCCTCTGGGCATGCATGTGCGGTGGTGAGTAGACAGAGTCACAGTGGAAGAGGGCTCGCTCTAGCACCACTGCTGAGAGGTCGAGAGTGCAGCCGGCATTGGAAACTAGGAGGATTTGGAGAGCCACGAGATGACCCGCGGGTGTGAAGCCCATCTGTTCAAGGAGGGTGGGGGTGGGGGAGAGAGGGGGGGGAGGGGCGAAGGGGAGGGGAGAGAGGGGATAAGGGGAAGGGGGAGGGGGACGGGTGGAGAAGGGGGGGAGGGGAGCAGGTGAGGGAAGAAGAGGTTCTGATAGCCCTGGGTTGGTGCAAGCTGTATGATGCCATGCCATGTCATGCCATGCCATACCTTACCAATTTGTTCTCACCTTGTATTTGCCATAGAAGGGGTGCCGTGCCGCTGCCCCGTGACCTTCACATCATCATCCCGATCCAACGTGATCCGCACAGCCCTGTTCAACTGCCACACCGGAACACACGCCGCTGCGGCCACCACTAGACTCCCTTGGAAACAGGCATCTCACCTTGAATCTGACAAACCACAATCGCACCCACCTTGTATTTGCCATAGAAGGGGTGTCGCTGCCCCGTGACCTTCATATCATCATCCCTCTCCAACGTAACCCGCACAGCCCTGTTCAACCGCCACGCCGGCACGCACGCCGCCGCTGCCACCAGCACGCTCCGCGTCTCCTTCCCCTTGAACCCCCCTCCCAGCCTCTTCACCCTCGATACCACCCTGTGCCTGGGAATTCCCAGGACAGAAGCAACGTCTCACCTTGTACTAGAGAAACAGCTTCCCACTCACCTTATACTTGCCGTAGAAGGGGTGTCGCTGCCCCGTGACCTTCATATCGTCATCCCTCTCCAACGTGATCCGCACAGCCCTGTTCAACCGCCACGCCGGCACGCACGCCGCCGCCGCCACCAGCACACTCCGCGTCTCCTTCCCCCCGAACCCCCCTCCCAGCCTCTTAACCCACGAAACCACCCTGTGCATGGGAATCCCGAGAACAGAAGCAACATCCTTCTGGTGGTGTGTGGGGGCTTGCGTGGAGCAGAGCATGTGGACTTCCCTTCCCCCGTCCACAGGCCAGACCACGCAGGTGTTTGGTTCGAGGTAGAAGTGCTCCTGCCCGCCCATTGCCACCTCGCCTTCGAGTACCAATGGGCATTGGGACACGTCAGCAAGGACGGATTCCACGTCAGCAGCGGAGACGGAGGACCCAGTCCGGGCGGCGGGCGCTTGGAAGCTTGCTGGATCGGCCGGGGAGGAGTTGTTTTCGCTGCTCGCTTCCATGCTTCCTTCCTTGCTCTCTTCAATATTGTTCTCGTCAATTTCCTTGCTGTCGCAGTCAGTTTTTCCAGAGGGGTCTGGGACCCTGAGGAGATTTCTTTCGGTCTGCCTGCCTGAGAACGGGAATTTGTGGAAGCTGCCCGAAGCAAGGGCTTCCTGGATGGTGAGTACGGCGGGCAGGTCCTCGTAGACCACCTTGACTTTTTTTGCGGCTGCCCGAGCGTTGTCGTGAGTGTCGGCAACAACCACTGCAATTATCTGTTAGAGGGCAGGAGAACGATTGGGCAAGTTGGAAAGAACGTCCACAATGCGGGAGAAAGCAAGTGAAAGAAATGAGGGTTTTGAGGGAAGAATGGGGGAAGCTGATGGTGTTAAGAAAGTAAGAGTGGGAGGTAGGTGCAGACCTACCTGCCCCAGCCATACCTGCCCCACACCCGCCTGCCCCACATTCACCTGCCCCACACCCATACCTAACCACCCCGCTCGTACCTGCCCCACACATTGCACAATCTCCGATGCGAACACCTCCTCATCGTGCTCCACCGCACCAAACCGGTTGCTACCGGGCACATCCTTGGCCCCAAACATCCCCACGAAGCCCGGACAGGTGGCGGCCTCTGATTGGTCGATGGAGAGGATGCGGGCGTGGGGGCGTGTGCTGAGCACGAGAGCCCCGTGCAGGGCGGAGGGGGGAAGAGGCGTGTCATCCGCGTATTCTGCCTCCCCTGTGACCTGTAAGTCAGCAGAGAGGTGAACAGCCGGCACTCCCACCACCTCGCCTCCATCCTCCCTCCCTCCCTCAGTTGCAGCCCCCTCTGCGAGGGGTCTAGCCTCCCATGCTTGCATGCCACGGGGATAGGGGCGAGGGAGAGAGTCCAAGGCGGACAGGTAGGAGGGGGGCGGCCACACAGAAGATGCATTGCTGTGACCAACACCATTGTTGCTGCTGCTGCTGTTGCTGGTGGTGGTTGCAGTGGTGGTGGTGATGATGCTCGTCTCTCCATCACCTATGCCTGGGCCTGCTCCTGCTCCACCTTCTGCTCCTGCCTCTCCCTCTGCCCCCGTTCCCATTTTCCCTCGCAGCAGCTGCTGTTGAGTATGTCCGTGCACGCGGTGGGCCACGAGCAGAAAGAACTTGAAGAAGAAAGAGAGAACAAGAGACCCCCTGAACTCAGGCATGCCGCCAGGTGCGTTCTCAGGTATAGAGATCTCCTCCTGAAGCACCTGAAGCGCCACCTGAAGAGTCTCCTGAGTCCATGGGCGGGTGAGAAGGTGTTGTTGCGTGCGGTGGGCTGACACGGTTGTTGCTGCCACTCCTCCGAAGACGAGCGAGCATTCGAGGACAGTAGGAGGGGCGTCTGGATGGGGGAAAAAAGGGGAGACGCGGGTGAAGGGGGGGGGGAAATAGGGTGAGCAGACACTGATGTTGCTGCCACCCCGCCAAACACAAGGGAACAGACAAGGAGCGGATGAGCGGATGAGGGAATGGGTGGATTGGGATGGGCGGATGGGCTAATCGGTGGATGGGCGGATGGGGGATGGGGGATGGATGGGCGGATTGGGAAACGGGCAGAGGGGCGGATGGGCACCTGGAGTGGGAGGCGAGAGCAGCACGCGCAGAGCCGCATTGACGAGAGCAATGTCGTGGTCCTTGTGGTGAGCCTGCTTGACATTTGACTCGACTCCCAGTTACCTCTTTCTTGTTGGCATGGGCAGCAGGCACCCACCAACCTGGATTGGGAGCGGATGGGAACGCACCTCGGTTGGGAGGCGAGAGCAGCGCGCGCAGGGCAGCATTGACGAGAGCAATGTCGTCGTCCTTGCGGTGTGCCTGCTTGTACGCCATTATGTGCTCGTTGGGCCGAGTCCTGTGCATGGAGAAGTAATACAAGTAGAAGGAGAACAAAAAAAAAAAAAAAAAAAAAAAAACGGCCACGGGAAAATGATAACGGAGATGAGATCGAAGTCTGTCGAGGTCGATGGTGCGAGTGGTACCAGCGACAAGAAAAAATTAGTGCTGACGTCAATCATTGGAGGAGTAAACGGAACTCTGTGTGGACAAGAAAAAGGAGTTAAGTCACGAGCAAGTAAACTACGAAGTCAACATCAAGATTGGCTCCGTTACCCCATACATAACTGGCCCTGGGAAAGTCATTTAAACATGGTCATTGGGAAGTCATTTAAACATGGTCCTGGGAAAGTCATTTAAACATGGTCCTGGGAAAGTCATTCAACCACAGCGCATAAAGCACAGCACAAAAACTGGCTCAGTGCAAGTTACTCACCACGGGATGAACACGGCAGTAAGAACCTCTCCCTCCCTCAAATCCACCTTCCGGTAACCCTTGAAGAAGTCCCGTGCTGCCACCTGTCGCAGCTCAATTGGACGGGTGGCGTGCTGAGCCTTGTCCACGTCAGCAGACGCTGCCACGTCAGCATCTGCCACGTCAGCGGCCTTGGGTGCCAGCCTGGCGAGGTGGAATGTCGCGTTGGCAGCGATGAGGATGGGGTTGAGGTCGGATATGGGGCTGGCTGTTACGATGTTACCAGCTAGCGTTGCCACGTTGCGAATCTGAAAAAGGCACAAGGTGCAAGGGAGGAGGACCCTTGAGGCGCCTCAAAATGGAAGAAAGAAGAACCCATGAAATTGAAAAAAGGGAGGGGGGTCGTTCATCGAAGAGGAATGGGGAAGAAAGAAGAGGGTGGGGGAATGGGATTCTCAAAGGCGTGCAGCACCAGTTACAGTGTTACCAGCTCACTTTGTCATGGTACAAATGCTCCAACGGAGAGACTTTTGAGTCGACTCAAAAGTCACCTCAGTGAAGGAGCCTTCCTTCAAGGGCTCCTTCAAGGGAAGCATTCCAGCAGCAGAATCTCCCTACCTGTACTCCCGCGAACCACCTTAGCTGCTCTGCTGTAGCAGCACACACAGCCGTCTTGTGAGCTGGTGCGTGCTGCACTGCTGATAGCATGGCTTGGCGCAGGGCGGACAGGGAGGCTGCTGCCCCCACGGTGATCCCGTGCTCTGATTGGCTGATCTCTGAGAGCACAGGGATGGCTGCCACGTGGATGTAGGCTGGAGGGCTGGAAGGAGGAGGGATGGGGAAGGGGGAGAGAAAGATGAAATGGAAGAGGGAGAATGGGGGAAAGAGGCAACGGCGGAGAGAAACGGAGGATGGGATTAGAATTGGCGATGAGAAAACGGAGCAGGGTCGACAGGTTCCCGCGAAACTTGGCTGCCCTAAGTACCTAATCCAACCCGGTTTCACCCATCTGCACCGCACTGCATCTCACCTGAGTCCCTTGAACCGCATCTCCACCCCGACCTCCGTGTTTCCCGCCACCACCTTGGCTGCAGGAAAAACTTCTCGCAGCGCCAACAGCTGGCGCAGCGTGATTGGCCGGAACCACACCGCCCGGCTCCTTTCCTTGCTGCTGCTAGCAGTGGGGGTGGAGCCGGTCTGTTGCAACAAGTATGTACAATCGCCGAGGCACAATGGAAGTGGGTGCCCGGATCGTTTCAGTAGCTCGGGAGGAAAGATAGGCTCAGACACTCCTAGCAAGTCAGCTTCGATGCCACTCGCAGCTGCTGCTTCAGCTTTGGAAAGTGCTGGTGATGCTGCTGGCGCTACTGCTGCTGCCCCTGATACTCCTGGTGAGCAGGGCTTGACTTTGCTGCACGTGCCATCTCCACAGCACTTAGCCTCGAAACTTTGGGCAGATGAAACTTTCCCGCACGAACAGGGCAGGCCAGTGGAAGGGCAAACTGCTGCTCCAAGCTGCCCGTCAACAAGACCATCCCGAAGAGACATGTTTGAGGCACCATGAGAAGCAGCATTGGCGGCAGCGTCAGCAGCATAGGCAGCAGCGTCGGCGCGAGCAAATGTGCGGAAGGCCTCGAGAATGGGGCGGTAGCCGGTGCAGCGGCACAGGTTGCCTGATATCGCCTCCTCTATCTCAGCTTTGGAAGGCAGCAGGGAGGAGGAGGACGCAGAGGAAGCAGAGGCGGCTGGGGCAGCAGAGGAGGCAGAGGAGGAGGCGGAGGAGGAGGCGGAGGTATAGGCAGCAGAGGAGGAGGAGCGGAGCAGGGCATACATGGACATGACAAACCCAGGCGTGCAGAAGCCGCACTGTGAGCCGTGGGAGGAGGACAGAGCCGCCTGCACCGGATGCAGCCTCCCCCGCGTGCTGCCGATACCCTCCACCGTCACCACCGCTGCCCCTTCTACGCTGTATAGAGGGGCTAGGCACCACAGCTGCCCCTTCTACACTGTATAGAGGGGCTAGGCATGCGTTGACGGCACAGTGGCTGGTGGGTAAAGGGGAACGGGAAGGAAAGAAGGGGGTCCGGAAGGGAAGAAGGGGGAAATAAGAGATTGGGGGAATTATAGGAATTGGGGAGGATTTTTTTTAGGCTTCACAATGCATCCAAAACATCCCGCCTCCTTACGTTTATCCAATGCGCATGACCCGCAATCTTACTCACTCACTCGGCCTCCTCACTCTCACAACCACTCTTCACTTACCTGATCCTGCCCATTCCGTTCTAGCGTCTATACGCGACACCATCACAGCACTCCAGACTTACCGGCGCATGCACACTGTCACTCTTACACACCCTCCTCACTCTCCCACCCACCTTCCCCATTTTGAGGCGCCTCAAAAGCCGCACTCCAGACTTACCGGCGCATGCACACTCTCACTCTTACACACCCTCCTCACTCACCCACCCACCTTCACCACCGTTTCTCACCTGATCCTGCCCGTGCTAGAGTCTACCCGCGACACCATTACAGTGCACGCCCCACACCCGCCCTCCTCGCACCCAATGCGCATGCACACCATTTCACTCGCCACCTTCCCCACCGTAACTCACCTGATCCTGCCCGTGCTAGCGTCTACCCGCGACACCATTACAGTGCACGCACCGCACCCGCCCTCCCCGCACCCCAGCTTCGTGCCTGTCAGGCCATTGTCTGTGGCGTTGTGGGGGGGAACGGGGACGGGAAGAAAAGGGGGGAAGCCGGATGCTACTAGTGGTCACAACCGTCAGCCGCATGAAGCACGAGATGGAGCAAGCGTCAGAAACACGAGACGTCGCGCGTGACCCGTTAAGAGCAAAAAAAGCGACAACCGAAAAACACCCGGCTGAACCTTGAAACAAATAAAAGCAAATAACGCAAAAGCGTTCCTCAATAAGCTAAATATAATCAACATAACCATAAGTCGATTTTCAAGGAGGCAAGTCGGGCCTCGGCCGTACCGCGCAGGAACTGCAGCAGCGTGGTGTTGGCGTGACCTACGGGGAGCACGAACCGCCGGCCATTGACGAACACCACGGGCTCTGTCGCAGAGGCTTCGCGAAAGAACGTGTTGAGTTCGTTGTCGTCCATTGCTTATTCGCAAACTAATATGATGGAGCAGGGCGGCTCGCGAATCAGGCTACAAGCAACTGTAAATTCAAGTGTGGGCAATCACTACTAAAAGCATGGTCAGAGTATGCTTGCCATGCCAACACAAGTTTTGGTGGGGAAATGTGATGCGGCGTTCTTACTGACGATTTTCGCTGTACGGATTATGCAAGTGATGCTAAGACCGCCTTTGTATAGTAGAATATTACCGTATACCTCAAAGTCAAGTGCCAACATTCAGGCCCTCGGATTCACTTTTAGGGTTGTCAACCCATCAGGGTCCCTGTGTGTAAACTCTGATTGACAGTGTTCCAAAAAAAAAAAGCCTGAAATGTCAGTGTTGTGTTTGTAAAAAGTCTGATGCATCAGTGTAGCACTAGTAAAAAGGCTGTCACTAACGCGTCGCATGTGATGGCAACGGGGCAGGATCCTTGGCAGTCCTCCAGCACCACATGGTGGCCACGTTCGGATTGGCCAAGACTGACTGCTGCAGCGAAACGGCCCAACGGTGTGAGGCGCCGCGCCAACAAAATACCTCTGAACGTGAACCAGAGGCAGAATTTCACAGGTTGGCCTCGCCACGGGGTGCTTACACCTCGGGAATCTGAGATTCCCTGTAATTGCGGTCAAATCCACATGGCACGGGTAAGAATCTCTTCAGTGTTGGTTTCGTTACAACGTTGTGGCATCAGTGTCCTAGGGGAAAAAGGTCTGAAATTTCAGTGTGGCCTAACAAAAAAAGTCTGAAATTTCAGTCCCTCAAAAATCTCAACACTGACTTTTCAGGGTAGGTAAAAAAAGGACTGCCAAAATCAGGAATTCCAGGGTTTTTTTCCTGATATCTGAGGCCCTGCCAACATTAAAATAACCTGTCACCACTGGTTTTTATAATTCAAATTTCTCTCTACTCAGTGATTAAAGGTTCCAGCTTGATGATAAAGGAGAAAAAACTAATGATCTATGAACCATATTATGCTTTTATTTGAGACAATAGAGCATTTTCCTGTTAGCAGGTCAGCTCTAATCTACTACAATGCAAGCTTCTTGATTCCTGGGAAAGAGGGTCGAATTGCCACGAGAGCATCGCCAAACCCAACCGCATCCCCATCCTCCACCAGGAATTTGACCACCTCTCCTGCATTCTCCGACTGGGTTACACCAAATAAAACATTGCACCATTGAACCAAACGGGATCAAGGGGAGCACAGGACGGGATTGCTGTTATGAGAGGGCCATGCAGGCAGTGGTGATTCAGGAGAGCACAGCAGGCATGGCTCAGGAGAATCGCCAGGTGTGGCACACACAAGACAATGAACACGCTCATATCTAGGGTGTAAAACAGGTCCTTACGAAGCCTACACAATGAAACATTCCCAGAAGGAGCATACCTCGATCGCGAGTTGGGTTCCAAGCTGCTCTAGATAGCACACCACCTGCCCCTTCTTTATCTCCGAGCCCTGATAGATGAAAGAAACAAACAACAGCAGCACATGACAGACAAGAGCCAAATAAATTTTGTGTTACTAGCGTCATCTTGCAGCTAGTGTAAATCCATAGCATGTGGGCGCAAGGCACATGCAACAGTGGCAACGCCCAGTGAGTTGCACCCAGAAAGGCATGATGCACTTGGACGCAACACAGACGCACACGCAACACTTTCCATTTGGCTGCCAACACTCTTCCTGATCCACATCACTCCATTCGGTTTCTTTCCTTCCCCAGCACTCTCCCTTTCACCTCCTTCCCTTCTCTCAGCCTGATCCCATTGGCGAGCTCTTGACCTCGTTGACCAGCTCTTGACCTCGTTGACCAGCTCTTGACCCCGTTGACCAGCTCTTGACCCCGTTGACCAGCTCTGGACCCCGTTGACCAGCTCTTGACCCTGTTGACCAGCTCTTGACCCCGTTGACCAGCTCTTGACCTCGTTGACCAGCTCTTGACCTCGTTGACCAGCTCTTGACCTCGCTGACCAGCTTGACCTTCTCAACCAGCTCATTCTCACCTCAGCGACTAGCGGCTTGCCCTTCTTGCCCTTGACCTGCCGACCACGGCGCATAATTCCCACCTGTTGGAATGTGGAGCGGGGGATAGGGGGAAAAGAAGTCAGAGACAAGAGAAGGGACGAGGGAAGGTGGAGCGGGCGAGCACAACAGAATTTTATGCGAAGTTATGTAGCCAATAATTTGCAAAAGGATGAGAACAAGAGGAGGAAAGGCAGGTTGTCGCCCCTTTACTAGAAATGTCATCGCTGCTGATATATTCTAGCATTAAATCCCCCACCAGGTGAAACGGTGACATTCGTTTGCAGGTCCTATCCAGTGGTAATAATATGTCATGGGTGGTGCTATGGTGCGTCAGTAGTAACCCCTCGTTTAAACCCGAAACCCTGGTTCTATCAATCAATACAGCAGCACGGAGGTCATATATCAAAGCCTTCACGCACGCCCCTCTCACTTTCAGCCACAGAAATGCGCAGCTACAGGCAGGGGATGGGCAGCAACAGCACAGAGTTTATCTGTCAACTCACCCGCGGGGAGGTCACGTATTGAAGCCCTTCATCCACGCCTGCCTCGCTCTCAGCCACAGCAGGAGGCGCAGCAACAGGCGCAGGAGGGGCAGAGGCAGCAGCCAGGGACGCGGGCGAAAGCGAGTCGAACATGGGGGGAAGGGGGGCGTGCGGCGCATAGGCTTGCGCCTGCGCGGCCTTGACCCCACCCACGTCCCTCAGTACGTGGAGCTCCATCTTGCCGATCTGATTGAGTCCGGCAGGTGGCGATTGGGGAGATGGGAGCCATCATGGTAGCGTAAGTTGGCATGAAAGTCAGGTAGAAAAGGACGTGTGCGATAGAAACGAATGGGCTGGACTTGAGTAGACGTTTCCTTCTTTTAATTCTGGAGGGGGGGGGGTCATACCTTGATTCTGAGCTCGGCGATCTTGGTCTCGTCGCAGAGCTCCATCAGCAGCGACTGGATCTGAGAGCGCCATGACGGGGGGTTGAACAAATGAAGTGAAACGATTCAATAACTTGTAATGAGCCAGAAACATCAGCGAGCCTTGTCGCAGATGTCCATCAGCAGCATCACGAAGAGCTTTACAGATGATTCAGTCATAACCCGTGTTCATTTATTGAGAGGAAGAATCGAGGATTATCACTCGCACATAGGAAGACAACAACAGGAACGCACCTCGAAGGCAGTCGCACGCTCGCTATTAAGCCAACTAAAATGACACGTAACTACTCGCACATCAGAGGGCATCTGAAGAAACGCACCTCGAAGGCAGTCGGAACAGGGAGGTCATCATGAATGCTCTCAGCAGCCTCCTCCTCCTCTTTGTCCTGTTCGGCCTTGACCTTCTCCTCTGCTTTATCTCCTTGGACAACTGTGCATGAGTCGGAACGACCGAAGGACCAAGGAAGGTACAAGGGAGCAGTTAGGAGGAGGAATATCTGACTGACCGTCTAAGTTAACAGGCGTAAAAGCCCTGTAATAGCTCTTTATCGTCCTAAAATCCGAGAGACTTCTCACATCGTCCGATTCGAGAACCCGTAAACCAATAAAACATAGTGACTAGTAGCAATCCTTTGCCGGCTCAGACTCTGCGGATCTTACGCCGGTCAGTGGCGATCGCATGCCTTGTCTGGATCGAGGCTCTCCGCGAAGGGGCAGCGAGCCGCAGAGGCGAGGTCGCTGCGATTCGCGAAGACGACGATTGCGAAAGGGAGCTCGCGGGTTGTGGAGATGACGCGGATGCGGTTGCAGCGATGCGCGCTACGGCCGTGGCAACTGCTCGGGCAAAATGGGGGAAACCAAGGTTCCATTCAGCAACGATCTATTTGACTTCGCATTTGTTGCAATTCCGCGCAAAAATGACACGAACATCGTAGATGAGAACAGCAGATTTTAGAGGTCACGTAGAAAACCAAGAGCACCTTGAGAGGAGGTGGTGACAGCAGCCATATTCCCTTCAGTCTCGGCTGACTCAGACAATCTCAGCGAGCAGCAGGTCAACTAGTGCTGTGATTAGGAGCTATTGACTCTAACTGGCTTCAGGGCTTGACAAAAAGCCTATGAAGGAGCCGGAGCAAGACGGTTAGCCTCTGCCTCGGTTTCGCCGAAGGAACTCCGACGCCAAGTCACGGCTGTGCGATGACTGATCTGTATGAAATGAATCTGTCCGATGAACGGCGATGGTGGTGGTATGAGATCACGATTCACGATTCGAGAACTCGAGAAGGCATATGGCTGGCTGGGGGGATCGTCTCACTCGTCGATTCCTGTGACTGCTGCATGCTGCTGCTGATGCAGTTGGAGGCACTCAACCAGAATTGCATCTCCCTTGGTTTCATCGCGTGACGAGGATCAATGTCTACGTCAGATCGAACGGCAATGAGCAGTTGACGGGTCATCTGAGACCGCGTATCGACGGTTGGAGGCTGTCGATTTGCCGACGCCAGCGAAACGCTAGGGTGAGATGGCATGAAACAGCGGTGAAAGTGACAAGGACAGAACACGCGGAAGGACAGCCACAGGTTGAGGTGGTCCAACCTCGATGTCTCGTCGAATCGATCGATGCATTGGAGGTTGGGCGGCGCGGTCACTGCTCAAATGCTGGAGGGAAACGATAAGATGCACGGTGCGGGTGCTTAGCGGCCAAGCATTGTCTGGTGATGTGGCATTGTCTGCGTTTGTGACAGCTCCGCTGAGTTGTTCGAGATGCCGAGTTACCCAATCAGAATGTGTTCTTTACGAAGCTCATGGAGACAACCCACCTTCCACGAAATGTTGATGCGCTGTGAGTCAGCTATTCCAAGCTGGCACCGTTGCAAGCAAAAATGTAGCAGGAATGAGGTGGACTTCATCGGAATGTTTGTTTCCCTCACACGAATGAGGTGATGAGCGCCAGCGTCAAGTGGCTCCCTTGAGCTGTTTAGGGCGGGTCAGGTTCAAATGAACCTGGTACGTTTAATGCGTTCAAGTAC